ATATTATAACGTTCTTTATAACGTTTTATTTTAGATACAAACCAATTAATACCTTGCTAATACTCATGGACATTTGTGCTGCTGTTTTTTCTCTCAAAATGATGTCACTTCCTGGTTTTGTAAGATAGATGGATTTTACAAAAGATCAACAGGATGGAAAGTGAAAATGACAAGTCAGGAAAAAATGATAATTAAAACAAAGATCTTAAGGAAACATGTTTTGTTTCAAACATTTTGATTAGGTAAAGTAAAAATGTTGAAAACGGCTGGTATTTTTTTAAATTTGTTTGAAAGTTTTTATAACCCACTGCAAAAATATCTGCTTAAACTATAGGTTTATTTAAAATTCAGTATAATCCATATTTAATATTTATAAATATATTATATTTGTATATAAAGTAATTAAATATATTTTTAGTTGTGACAAAACGGAAACAAACTAATATGACTTATCCTTTAAAAAGAAAGTTTTTTTTAAAAGTGAACTACTCCTTTAAGGTTCTTTATCTATAGTTCCATGTAGAACCTTTAACATTCGTGGAAAAGGTTTTTCTGATCATTAAAATGTTCATCAAAATGAAAGAAAAAAAAAGGTCTTTTGGGGAACTACAATGGTTTTGCTGTAAAAACCTTGATTTTTAAGAGTGGATTTTATGAGCATATATGAAAGTCTCATTGTTTCAAGACTTTAAATGACTCTATAATAAAGTGGTACGTGTAAACAGATTTGGTGTTGGTGTCTTACTTGGTGGCCAGCACCATTTTCTTGCATATCATTATCTTCATATCTTTATACTAAGTTTAATATCTAGTATGTTAAACACATGCGGACATGAAAATGTATTGAATAACAGGAAAGACTCAGAACATGTTCATATCGGTCTTAAAATCTTTCTCAACTCCGGCTGTCATTTTATATCACTGTTTTTTTACTTTTATAGATTGTGTTTTCATCTAAAATGTAACAGACAGATAAATTTTTCGTCATAATTTTCGTTAAATATTCTTTTCACTCTCTCTTTATCTTGTTTTAGTTCTTTTCTTCCAGTGCTCAGTTTCTACTGCTTCCTGTACTTTTATTCTCCATTTGTTCAGTCCTTCATTTCACCATCTCAACAGAAGCAGCAGGTCACATGACTTCCTCCTTCAGCTCTGCCCATATAAGGAGTGAGTGTGTGGGTGGAGCCAGCTGCGATCTGACAAACAATCTCACTTAAGTTTAGTCATATGTGTAATACCGAAATCTATTACCATTTTTTATACCATTATAATTACTATTTTAAATGTATTTATGTCGTTTAATAATAATTTTATTGAAAACATTCTTTGTTTAATGCAATTAAATATATAATTAATGTATATTTTATTGATGCCTGCATGGCTCTCAGTGGTTGTATTGGTTCTTGCATGAAATTTTAAAATGCTCTGCATTTTATTATTTTGTTAATTTCATTTTAGGACTTGATTTGTAGTCTCATACCTGATTAAAATCACAGACACAGTAATTGAAGAATCTTTTTAGTTGCTTTTATAAGAAATTATGCACAAAATGTGTCAGTTTAGTGTGTTCAGTTTAGAATTGTATCTGAAGTCAAACGGTTTGGACTGATAAAAAGGGCAATGTAAACTTTTTTAGTGGTTTATGTTTTGTTTTTGTTTTTCCCCAAATAAGCAAACTTTCAATAAGAGACAATCAGTTAAAAATGCTCATTAAACTTTACAATAAATTTTCATTTGTTAATGAACTACATAATTTAACAAAGTAAGAATGAACAATACTTCTACAGCATTTATCTTACATCTCAACATTTACTAATATATTATTAATTAAGATCAAAATCTGTTATGCACTGTGAAAATTTTTATGAACTAACACTAACAAAGGTTGATAAATGCTGTAAAAATATTGCTCATTGTTAGTTAATTTTGGTTAATGCATATGTGAACAAATAAGACCTTTTTTAAGTAATCAAAATGTTTTTCAGAATGTTTTATTATAACTAATGAACACAAAGCAGCAAAGCAAAATTTGATGATCAGAAATCGTTTTTTCCCCTAAACTGTAGTTTAAAATTGTCTGTGTATATCCAAGTAAATTAATAATATAAATGGAGACAAACAGTATTTAAATCATCTCTTTGATTAAATTGCTTTGTTCTTTTTAATTGTTTTGTTCTTATAGAATTTAATTCTAAATTCACACACATTTAAAAACATAATTATCCTCAAACTAAGTCATGTCTAGAATGTAAAATTGTATTTCTACCAGAGCGTGTGCATTTTACACACAATGTTAAAAGCTCCACACACACACACTGAGCTCATATCCGGCTGCTATCAGGGGTGTGTGTAGAGTGATGTAGTGTGTGTCAGCAGATCAAATACTGCGTGTACGTCTTGTAGTCAGTGCAGAAGTGTGTTGTTAATTTAACGCAGGGAAACGGGATGCCGGTGTGTGTGTGTGCATGTTTGAAGGGGGTTGGGCAGAGGTCAGAGGTCACTGTGAAGGATGAAAACATGTGGAGGAGGGGTGATGTGGAATACGTCCGGCCCTTTGGTGGCGCTCTCTGTGTTTCTCTCTCGCTTTCTGTCTTCCGTCTCTCGCGTTTGTCTGTAATATGACACACGTCTTGCTCACCGATCACGTACCTTAATTCTCCTATTCTGGGATGAATCATCTGTAACATCGCAGAGCTTCTCTCTGAACTTTGACCTGGAAATAAGCATAAATATAAAATATTCGTTGATCAACCTGGTCTTCATTATTCAATTCCAGTTTAATCACATCTCAGAACAGGTTAACATTAAAGCATCATTTTAATAAAACCAAAAACGCTTTTATTCTCACACTATGGATTACATTTGATATATCTGTCTTGTTAAGTGTGTTTTTGTATTTACCCAGATCTAATCCTATTTACTGTTACAGCCTATATGATATTTCCACAGAAGAAATCTACTAAATGTGTGTGGGAAGGGTTTTGCTGCTGGCGTTTCGATTATGTTTGCGTAATGCTCTACTCTCATTCACGCTATGGATTTTTAATTTCTCCCCGTCGTAAGTGTTAAATCAGAAGGCTTTTTGTGCTCATTATGTCAATTATGAGAAATGAAATGCATTATTTCCGCCCACACGGCTGTATTTAATGTCATGCCGTGACAAAAAGTGTTTCTGTAAAAAGAAAGGTTCCAAAATGGAAGAATCTTTTAGTGCACAGTTCTTAGAAGAAACATTTTATGGATCTTTTTCACAATAAAGAATCTTTTTTTGGAATGCGTAAAGATTCCATGGATGTTCTTCATGGAATCATAGATGCTAATAGAGAAGTGAGAGCTGATACAAACACAAATGTTGAGCTGAAGACAGTGTGTATTTACTGGAAATGTCATTCATCGATTCAGTATTTATATGTAGAGATTTATCTTTCCTGAAAAGTGATTTGTGAGCATAAGTAGATTCATCCATGGTCTATCATTTGTTCTGGTGTTGATTGACTTGCTTTCTCTCCGATTGGAGATTGTTAATGATCTGAGATGAGAATGCCTCTGCTTTTCGATTCATGCATTGAATAATTGAAATGGAAATCATATGATCACACCACAATATCTTGAGACAGATGCATTTGGAATCACTATCATTGTTTTATATGACTTAAATGAATATTACTTCAAGTAGTCCTGTTTCTTTGGTTTAGACTGATCTGTGTGTGTCTTAAATGCCTAAATCTGTAGATATATTTGTTGTGTAATCTTATATGTTTTGTAGAATTAATTGTATTAAATCAGCTCTGTGTGATAAAGAATCAATGCTAAATTGCAGAATGATGTACAGATTTTGTGGCAATTTTATTCGTAAGGAATTACATTTCAGTTTCAGATTAACAGGCTTTTATTGCGATTATCATTTCTAATGCTGAAAAAATCATATAAATTGAAGGATTTGAATAAAAAAAAATACACTGTGTGAATATTGTACAAGCTGGATAAAAGCATCTGTTAAATAATGAAAGGATTTCTAATATCACACTTGTTGAAATTAAACACACACATTATTTTTATGTTACGAGTATTTGCATGTTTGTTTGACATTCCTGTTCTGTGATATTATATGAATATGTAAAGAATATATTACAGGGATCATTTTTTCAAATTTTGTTGAATTGTCCTTTTATTAAAAAATTTAGTAGTATTAATTTATAAGTATTAACAAACTAACTTTAGCTGGAAAATAATATTATTCTTATCTTATTAAGAACCGCTATAAACCAAACCAATCTTTGTTACCTTAAATGATATGTTTATCACTGTAAAGCTGCTTTGAAACAACCTTGTTAAAAGTGCTTTATAAATGAGGATGACTTTAATAAAATCGAATTAAAAAGTTAAATATATAAGGAGTTAGTGCAAACAGTTACTCATTTTTGGTGCAATTAAACCAAACATGTTTTATTGTATTACATTATTTGCTATTCTTTAATATTTATAATATTCTGACAAGTCACTTTCAACCCATTTCAACTTGAAAACTTAAGTTTAGTTGCTGCCTTTCAGATTGACTCAAATCTCTTATAACTAATTAAAAAAGTTGTAATCAATTAAATTATTTTGATGAGTTAAAGACCAAGTAATGTAAAATCATATGATTTCGACTTTTTGATCATATTTACTTTATATTTAAATAAGCAAAATTTTTGGGGTTGTTCTTGATTTTAGCAATTGTATCTCTTAAAATTGTGTATTTTATGCAAGAAAAGAGATGAAATGTGTTTTTAAACATTGCTTTCTTAATGCAGGTTAATGTTTCTTTTTTTATTTCTAGTACTTTCATTGTCCCTGATAAATTATTAAATGACATGAAATGTTAATGGATATCTCTGTAGATTTGCCTGATCTGTTTGAAATTTATATTTATATTTGATATTTATATTAGATATTATCGACTGTCTATAAGTATGCTTGAATGTGTATTAAATGAGATGTGTGTGTGTGTGTGTGTTTAGAGTAAGCTGGTGATGGAGGGCTTCAGGAGCCTACGGGAGGGCGAGCAGGTTGAGTTCACCTTCAAGAGGTCGAGTAAAGGTCTGGAGTCGCTCAGGGTCACGGGGCCCGGCGGGGGCCCATGCTCGGGCAGTGACCGACGCCCCAAAGGCAAGGCCCCGCCCCTCAAGCGCAAACCAAAGGGAGACCGGTGAGTCCGCTGAGCACGATGCGATACGTAGTTTAATATGTTTGGTTTCATGAAAGCTTATTTTCAGTTATCCACAATTCACATTGTGCTGTATCTTTTCTGCTTAAATGAAATACCCCAGGCTTCAGCTGTCAGGTCTTCACTGAATGATATCTTGAGGACGAATGTAATTTTAGTTTTATTCATGAAATTATGGGAGTATTCTTGTCTTTAGCAATCTACAATGTACTGTTTAGAATCACTAGTAGAATAGATTCGATAATTAGAGATATTGAAAATATAAAACAAAAAATTAACTGCATGTTCTCATATTTTAATTATATATCTTGATGTTTTCTTGGGTAATTTCAACACAAATTTGGGTCAAATATGGACAAACCCAAATGTTGGGTTAAAATGCAGCTGAAAGTTGAAGTTGGGTTAAAAAAAATTTAAATGACATTTTTAACCCAGCATTTGGGTTTGTCAATATTTTACCCAATTTTGGGTTAAAACAATCCAGCATTGTTTAGAGTGCAATCTTGTTTTGTTAATGGTTGTATTTGCAAAGGTATCCAAGTTTATTTATAATGCTACAACAGGAAAAATAAATTGTTTAGCCACAAAAGGAATTGATCAAACACTTTAAACCAATTTGATTTAACATATTTTTAAATGTTTTATCATTCAAAATATAAACGGAAATTAGACAATAATAATCGAATTATAAGTGAACATATAAAATAGAGCTGGGGAAGTCTATGATTAATGTACGATTTATTTGAAAAAATAAATAAATAAATAAATAAAGTGTTACACTTGATGTATTACTAAGAAAGAAAACTTTTTGAACAAGCATTTTTCATCAAACTTGCTGTTTTTTATCGTTAAAATGCACAAAAGTATTCACATGTCAATTAAAACGGCATGGATAAAATAATCAATTACAGTATTGATAATGTTTTGTTAAGCCGCGTGAATTACAGCATGTCATTTTGAATGTAGATGATGGGTCATAGCTTGGGTTTCGCCAAATGCTTTTCTGTTCACGACTCGCATTGATTGTGAGTCAGTCTTCTACTTCCTGTTGCCATGGTGATCAAAGCAAAAAAAACAAACAAACTGAATAAGTCTTTTCAGTCTGTTGTGTTAAAGCTATTTATATGTATACGTGCGTGTGTGGGTGAGCCGTTTATCATATAGGCGGTCTCTATAGAAAAGGTGGACATGAAAAGATGGAAGTTTTATTATAAAGCCTGAATTGATGCTTTAACACATTCATATGAACATATTCTTAAATTCTTCACTCTCAAAAGAGCTTGAAATCTGTTTGAAAGACAAGTACTTTATGAAATTGGCTCATGGAACTGAATTAAAAACTTATCAATGTCAGTGTAAATTTAATTCATCAGTTTAAATACAAGAATCTTGCATTTTGAATACTGTGATAATTTGTACCTGAAAGTTATCATCTTAGTCCTTTATATCAAGTAGTTGTTTCGTTTAATGGTTCTTTGTATCTGAGTCTGGATGTTATGAGGAAATTATACTGTTGAGATTTATAGATTTTTATGCAATGTGTTGCAAAAAATTTAATGCATATTACCTTTTTATTTTTAAAGGGATAAAATGAAAATACTGTCATTAATTACTCTCCCTCATGTCGTTCCAAACCTGTAAGATTTCGTTCATCTTCAGAACACAAATGAAGATCTTTTAATGAAATCTGAGAGCTTTCTGTCCCTCCCTTGACAGCTATACTCAACTTTGACGCTTTAAAAAGTTCATAAAGAGATGGTAAAACTAATCCAAAGAAATTGAGCCGTTTAGTCTAAATTTTCTGAAGAGACTCAATCGGTTTATATAGTGAACAGATTGAATTTAGGCTTTTATTCACATATTGACATTGATCAGTGAACATAAAGAGAAGCTCAACTGAACCAGCTTGAAGAACAAACCTCATCGGTTCTTCCAGAAGGTCAAACGTGCTTTATGAATGTTTTTAACCATCAGAGTGTCAGTTGTGTAACTCTCAATGCACTGTAAAAAAATATTGTTGGTTTGACTTAAAAAAATAAGTAACCCGGTTGCCATAAAATTTTAAGTTCATTGAAATGGAAAAAATTTTGCTAATACAATGAAGGAGATTCATTTAATCACCAGAAACTCCAAATATTATGTTATCTGAACTACATAAATTATCCAAGTTGAATTGACAAAAGAAAAAATGTTGTGATTACAAATCATGAACATATTTTTTTACAGTGAGAAAGTTCTCAGATTTCTTCAAAAAGATTAATTTGTGTTCTGAAGATGAACGAAATGACACGAGGATGAGTAATTAAAGACAGAACTTTCAATTGTGATCTAACCCTGTAAGATGGCAAAATTAGGCCAATGTTTACCTCAAATATTTATCGTTTTTAAATGTGAGCGTGAGGTGGCCAGGTTAGGCGAGAAACATTATGGAACTGCTTTCCATTTTGTGGAGTTCAGCACTGATGTCAGATCAGTTTCATCCAGTTTGTGTTTGTCTAATACAGCAAGCAGACATGATTATCTGTTGCAGCACAGCGCCACCTAGAGGCTGAAAACAGTCTGTGCAGAGACAATCAATATCCTCATATCTAATATTTGAATATATATAAAATATATATTTATATATTATAAATAAAATATATATCTTTTTTATTATTATTTATATATCATATTTGTGATTATTTTAATGTTTGGAATTACTAGGCTGGGATTTATCACTCTAATATGATAAAACTTTGATTATTAAATACTGCAACTGCCACTTTTGGAGTATTTCTATAAAAAAATGTTTGTTATTGGAGTAAGTCTTGTCATCTACTGCCCCCTAGTGACCAACACTGGGTTTGAGTTCATCTCAGCAAAAACGTCTGGGTCACATTTAAACCAAAAATTAGATAGAAGAAATAATGTAAAGAAGTTTGTTTTTAGGACCATTACGATTTTGGTGTAATATTGTGTTGGCGTAACAAAATTTCCTCCATAATTTTCATTAGCATAATGCATCTGATTCTGAATGTGTTGTTTGCATTCTGGGTCTGCTTAATTGTAATTAATTAATTTTACAATCCACATCTTAAATGGTCACAATATTATTCCTGGTCTCAATAACCAATGATAATGCAAACTTTAAACATAATTTTTTAGTCATCAGTGCTATGTATTTACACTAATGTATTTTGTATTTACAAATGTTTGGAATAATTATGATTATAAATATTTTTGAAGTGCGTCTTGAAAGGCTGCATTTATTTGAGAGAAAATACAGTAAATATTAATACAATTTAAAACAGCTCTATTCTATTTTAATATATTGTAATATGTAACTTAGTCCTGTGATTAAAGCTTCGTTACTCCAGTCTTCAGTGTCACATGATCCTTCAGAAATCATTATAATATGCTGATCTGCTGCCCAATACATTTCATAATATCTTTGTTAATATGTTATTTATCAAATAAACGCAGCCTTGACGAGCATAAGACACTAAAAATCATACTTTTGATCGGTAGGGGAAAATTTGCTGATCATCCTCTCTCTGATTTTCCTGCGGCGACGTATAATATCTAAAATAAATCCTGTTTTATTTGATTGCATATTTTAGTGGTATCATTTGTACAATGATTTAATCTAAACGAGCGATATTTTGTCCTTCCGCAGGTGTTATAACTGTGGAGGTCTGGACCACCACGCTAAAGAGTGTGGCCTTCCACCCCAGCCAAAGAAGTGTCACTACTGTCAGAGTGTCACACACATGGTGGCCCAGTGTCCCCACAAGAGGGCGCTGTCCCCCTCCACGTCTCAGGACCTCCAGCGGCCCTCCACCTCAGCTCAGTCCCAGGAAGAGGAGAGCCGGTCGGGCTCGTCGTCCTCCCCGGAGGAAGCGTCTCAGCGGGGCAGTCACTCCCAGCGCTGGAGGAAAAGCTGGGACTGAAATGATCTACCTCACACCAGACCCTCCCTTCCCGTGCAGCTATGGTATCAGCCGATGGGTGTGTGTGTACATGCCTGTGTTCTCACTGAGCAATCACAACAAACTCTGCACGAGTGTGTTTCGACTGAATATTACAAGGCAACAAAGATTAGCTATTTTACCTCCATAATGTGCGAGAAACCGAAATACACTTTTTTTTATTGATCTGCTGTTTAGACTGGCTTTCTTAAAGCATGTTCCTCTTCTTAACGAGAACATTTTATTTTTACGATAACATAACTTTCCTCTGAAACTTTTGAATGCTAGTGTGTATGATATGATAATAATCAGAAATGTTTCTTGAGCATTAGAGTGATTTCTGAAGGATCATGTGATCAGTAATGATGCTGAAAATTCAGGAATAAATCGCATTTTAAAATATATAAACATAGAAAACAGTTGTTTTAAATTGTAATCCCAGATAGCAAACTGATATTGAATCGACGTGGAAACATGACATCGAAACAACGTTGATCTGGCATTGTTTTGCTCATCGAATTAACGTTGAACCAACGTCAGACACACCATTCTTCAAAACTAAAGGGAAATCAACTTGAAATCAACATCGTTTCAACGTTAGGAAAGCAAACCAATTGCAACGATTTTCAGTTAGTTTTGAAGAATGGTGCGTCTGATGTTGGTTCAACGTTAATTCGATAGATCAACGTTGTTTCGATGTCACGAGAAACGTCGTTTCCATGTTGATTCAATGTCAGTTTGCTCTCTGGGATAATACTTCAGAATATGAAATGGTTTCAGAGGAAAAGCAAAAGCGATCATGTTACCGGTGTAATAACAGATATAAAACGTTCCCTTTAAGATCAAGAACATGCATTAAGAAAGTAAATATGATTCAATTTCTTGTTGACTTTAAACCAGATTTCTCTGGCATTTTGAATTTCTCACAATCAGGTTCATGTCAAAATTCACGGGTCTCGGGACTGTTATGGCTGGTGGTGGATATGGTCACACTCATCATATCCTTTCAATAATATTATTATGGGGTAGTGAGGACATTTTCTTATTTTTTTTTTTTTTATGGGTGGATGGTTTTATATGTGGCTCTCAGCCGAAGAGTTTGTAACAATTGAAGACTAAGAGCTAAATTAACTTGGGTCAGAGAGGACTAACTAACTGATTTAAACGTCTCGGCATTGTTTAGCTGCAGTGGAAAGCTGTCTTTTGCTTTATCGCAGGCTGTTCCACAGCTCACGTGATAATTTAAGGCATTAATATATGTTGAAATATTCTAAATGTTGAAGTGTAATTTATATAGAGCGCGCAGGTAGATGAAGGTGATTCTCTAGGATGGCGTTTTGATTTGATCCCTCTCCTCCCTCACACACCTCAGCCTCATTGAAAGTGGTCGTCTTGTGGAGGACGTGATGATGAGATTCTGTCGACAGAGTTTCATTAAAGCTTAATTTTCTCTTCCCATTGTGACGTCGTGTTAAAAGAACCAAAAATGAGCGGCCTTAAAAGTTTTTTTGTTTGCTCTTGGGTGTGTATGGTGGTGAATTATTGTAGTGGTTTGATGGTCGTTGAATCTTTTTGCTATCATCAATAACAGCTGCGCATGATTCATTGTAGGCTACACTTGATTCAAGTAGGCTATACTTAAAGGAGTAGTTCACTTTTACTCACCCCCATGTCATCCAAGATGTCCATGTCTTTCTTTCTTCAGTCGAAAAGAAATTAAAGTTTTTGAGCAATTGTTTTGCTAGATAAGACCCTTATTCATCGCCTGGAATCATTTAAAGCCTTTTGAACAGTTTGCTCTGAAACTGTCTTTTGGACCTTGAACCGTTTGGTTCCCAATGAAGTCCATTATATGGAGAAAATCCTGGAATGTTTTCATCAAAAACCTTAATTTCTTTTCGACTGAAGAAAGAAAGACTTGGACATCTTGGATGACATGGGGGTGAGTAAATTATCTGCAAAAGTTTTTTTTAAAAGTTAACTACTCCTTTAAGCTTTGGCGCCATTGATCATCAACGTGGGCGTATATCGTTGCATTATTGTTGCCCCATTTCTTCTGGAACAACTGATTACTAAACGACTAATAAATGGTTAATAGATTAACATGCAAAATTGCTAGAAAATTTCACAAATAATTACAAAGAAATGGCAAGTAACACATTGAATTAGACTACACGCGAAGCTTTTGAGTAGGTATTTCCTTTTAAATAATCGTACTCCAATCATTTTTATTTCATTTACAATTTCGAAAAATCTGTGTTTATGGCGTACTATGATGATGTCGAATGTTTCGGTAAATTGCCTAGTGAGACATTTTCCTAGATCAACATATTTTGCTAGTCCTGGAGTAACATTCCTGTCTGAAAATTTTGTCCAAACACTACCCATCACTTATCTCTGAATTTAGAGAGAAATGATAGGTGATATAGAAGCACCTAACCCTGGTTGTACGCCGAAACTTGACATAAATGATCCATGAATCATTCATTGTGTACAGTACAAGTCAATGCAGGCGTCATATACCAACGCTTTTTACATCCAACGCACATGGCACCCATTAGCGTCAATATGAGATGCAGATACATATGGGCCTGAGGGTGCCCCCTAGTGGTCTAACCCTAACCCTACCCCAGAACTAAACCTACCCATAACCGAACAAAGCTCTGTGCGTGTTTATTGACACTAAACGGTGCCATGTGCGTTGGATTTAGACGAAATTTCAAAAGCGGCACTATATGACGCCCTAGGATGAGAACGTGTTGGATTTCACCAAGTGCAACAAGTTCCTGGATCTGATCTGATTCTAATCAACCAATCAGATTTGAGGGACAGGTTTACAGTTTATTTCAAGCTTAGGCTAGTCTCGTGTACTGACGGCAGAAGGACTCCATTGGCTAAGGCCCGCCCAGAGGCCGTCCGACTGACATGTAAAGCAACCAATCACAGTTTGTTTTGTTCCGCGCCATGTTTAGGGGTGTGAAAATGTAACGTCGACGTCTCTACAATAACAGACCGGTGTGTAAAACTCTTGGATGTAATTTAAAGAGTCAATGCCGTGAACTTTACATACTTCACGTTCTTTTGAAAATCCCGCGTTCAGTTGATCCTGATATACGCTCATTGCCACAACTGTGTTCCTTTTCCATGAGGGGGTTTGGCTCGCCTAGAACTAGACGCACCCTAGTGGCAGCAAAAATTATTTTGCAGCTATGGTCTAACAACTCTCGAAGTGGAAAAACCAAACTCTGGTCAGGCCAATCACATTGTGTATAGAGTTGGTGGGCGGGCTTAACACAATGATGGCAGAGTTGTGACCGTGATTTCCCTGATACTTGAAAACAAACAAGATGCTGCTGGCGAACAGCGGTCTTTCCATTCGGCTTTGGCCGCGACTCTGGAGGACTTCAGAACGTCACTTAAAGGGTTAGTTGACCCAAAAATGAAAATTAAGTCATTAATTACTCACCCCCATGCTGTACCAACCCCGTAAGACCTTCGTTCATCTTCGGAACACAAATAAAGATATTTTTGATTGAATCTGACAGCTGTATCACTCTTCCATAGACAGCCTGAGGGACTGCCTCTTGACGGCCCAGAAAGTCATTAAAAGAAAAGGTTTAAATATTCCATGTGCCTACAGCGGCTCAACTATAACTTTATCAAGCGACGAGACTACTTTTTGTGCGAAAAAAAAAAAAACGTAAATAACGACTTTATTCGACTTTCCATTACTTCCTTATGGGCGCATGCGCGAGAACTGAGACGAGACCGTTCTTCTTCGACTACTTTTTGTTACCGGCTGCTCACCGCTTGGGAGTTTTACCGCCCCCTACCGTATAAGATGACGTACTGCTTGTAAACAGAACGTTTTGCGCCTCCGGCTATATCAGTACGTCATCTTAGGTAGGTAGGGGGCGGTAAAACTCCTAAGCGGTGAGCAGCCGGTAACAAAAAGTAGTCGAAGAAGAACGGTCTCGTCTCAGTTCTCGCGCATGCGCCCATAAGGAAGTAATGGAAAGTCGAATAAAGTCGTTATTTACGTTTTTTTTTCGCACAAAAAGTAGTCTCGTCGCTTGATAAAGTTATAGTTGAGCCACTGTAGGCACATGGAATATTTAAACCTTTTCTTTTAATGACTTTCTGGGCCGTCAAGAGGCAGTCCCTCAGGCTGTCTATGGAAGAGTGATACAGCTGTCAGATTCAATCAAAAATATCTTTATTTGTGTTCCGAAGATGAACGAAGGTCTTACGGGGTTGGTACAGCATGGGGGTGAGTAATTAATGACTTAATTTTCATTTTTGGGTCAACTAACCCTTTAAGATGTGTTCGTAGTTTCGACAAACGGATACGGCAAAAGTTATAATGTATAAACAAACTCTAAACTATCTCGTTGCTCCGATTGGTTGTAGCGCAATCCCTTTTGCATGCAGAGGGATATTGAAAGACAACCGTTTATCCCGCCCCTGAGGTACGCCAATTGTGAGTTCCCAAACCTAACATCTTGATGTAGGTCTGGCTGCTTGCCAGGCTAGGGTTTGGCATTACAACGACATCCTGTAGAATTCAACCAATCAGATGACCACTTCAAAGTGTTTTTAGTTAATTGTGCCATACCAGGGTTAGGTGTTATTCACGGGAATTCAGGTATGAGTTATGGGTAGCGGTAGCGCTAAATTTTGTTCCAGGATCAACAAAATATGTTGATCCAGGAATGGTGACCCCATACACAAACTCTGGTGTACACGTATAAAACAAAGTATACTTTGTTGTGTACTCCCCCCATCCCCCCATTTAGCTAATGAATGTAGATGAACTGAAGCCTTAGAGAGACAGATCTCTGAATCATCTGAATGTTAAGAGCAAATCTGCTACAATCATCCATTGCACAATGAAAAACTGAACAAAAGTGCACTTGAACAAAGTAAGCATTGTTTACCCAGAATGCCATGCCGTGGAGGTTTGCGGTGTAATGTCTTAACGTCAACGAACGACCCAATGACTGTCAGCAATAATTTCAGACCCTTTTCATTCCGTAGACCTTAAATAGGCTTTATGCACAACTTACTTCCGCATTCTGTAAAACAGGTCGCATCGCTTCCGGTCCAGGTCTTTTGTATGTGCTTCATGAAATTTTTTGCGGTTTTACTCAAGATAACTTAAAAGGAGCGAGCAAAGATTAGCACAACCAATATCCCTCACATGTGCAGATTGATATTTAAACATTTTATATTTTTTCTTCTTCACAGTAACGTTTAGATATTTAAATGGAATAAAACGCCAATAACAAAGTGAACTAGTTATGTTAGCTGATTACCTTAAAAATCCATAGATATCGTAGTCAGGTCTTA